TTTTCAATTCGTTTGGATACCATTGGCTTGTCAATGCCAGGGAAGAAAGGCGGCGGCAAGCAGGGCCACCAGGATGTTTCAAATCTGTGCGCTTTGTGCTTTGCAATTTGGATGAAGGTTTTCCCGGAAAGACCAACTCAAAAGTTTGTAAAAGTGCTGGTGTTTGGAGGGCACTGTAAGTTGGTCATCATCATCCAACCTGTTTCCTAACTACTACCGCCCCCTGAACGCCCACCCTGAACCTTGGCCAGCAGAGAGGAATTATCTCCAAAGCATCCTTTTCCTGTCCTTGTCCTTGGTTGGCTGTCCCAGCGGTGTCCTTGCTTGGTCCAGGCTGTACGTGTGTATGTAAGTCTTGCATTGTGCTTGGAGTGCGTCCAAGCTTGAAGCTCACTGTCGATCTCGTACTCAAGCACTGAGGTCGGGTGGGAAGGGTGGCAAAGCTGGGCTCGGGGGCCCAAGTCATGATTTCATGAGGGAAGCGCTTCTTGGTTCAACCTTTCCACGCTGATTCGGCGGCATCCCTGAGTTTGTTTGGAGAAAGAAAAGTAAAGATGCTTGCCGCTTGCACACCAATATGCAAAATCATGGCTGAGGCAAAAGTCCTCTGAACAGCCAAGCCAGGACAGTCTGAAACCACGATTCTGCCCTTTTTGTGGTGGAGAGTGTCTTGGATGCACATGATGCAGCTTCCAAGCAGAAGGCAATAGGACAATATAGGACAATGCGGACCACCAGACCAGCAGGTAACATGGATAAACCGGAGGACGTTGTGCAACTTGCTCACAGCCTGGTGAGACAGGGCGAAGCCTGACTTCCGCTTTTGCCAGTTCTGTGGTGCTTCTCTAAATTTTGGCCAGGTTGCCCAGTGGGACGTGCGCAAGGTGTGATTTCAGGATCGAAACCTGATAGCCCAAGCAAGCCGTGTTTTAGTGAAAGACACTTCTCAACGCATGATTTATATAAGTGCTGGCGCGAGGGGGTTTCTATATACGTGCGAGAAAATCATCCCACCGGTCCCACCAGCTAACTGGGTCAATACTCACTGGATCTCAAACTTTTCGCTGCCGAGTCATCAATGAAGGTCAACGAAAGTGAGGTTATGGCCTTGTCCACCTGGCTTCTAGGTTCATTGGGCTTCCTAGAGCTGAATCTCCTCAACCTCCAGGAGCTTCCTTTTGTCCTGAGTTCAACCGCAACACTTGATGCTCCAGCCCAGAACCTGTATCTATCTAGTTCACAATAGAACTAAATATATAGAAAAATACCTATCTAGTTCTGGATCTAGCAACTGCATATCTATCTATCAAGGAGCAAGGACGCTACTAGGGGCTCCTGGCCTTACTACTAGGAGCAATGTTCGCTACTAGTAACAATGGGCATCGCTACTAAGAGGGTTCTTCAAGGAAGCTCCACAATCGCCATCAGTTCGGGAACTCGCCCGTGAAGAAGCATTCGACCACTCAAGCTACTATCTGACCCCTTACCTAACTTAATAGTTACTCGCTAATTACCCCTCTTTCCCCTGACTATCTGCCTACCCTCGCGCCCTCCGCGCCCAAGAAGAACACAAGTCATTTTCAGAGTCCAACTTGTCGCGTTGACTCGATCTGAGGTGCAGAGGGGTCGAACGCTTAGCTTGTCGCCGTAGAACCGTAGAACCTTGTCGCTTAGCTTGGAAGCAACACTTAAAGCTTTTGTTTCTTCCACGGAAGGAAAAGATGACAGGATTCACCAGCAAGGAAATGCCACAGCGTAGCACCGCAACATCAAAGCCAGTGAAATGCGAACTGCCCCCCGAAAGTGACGATGCTGCATTTGCTCCAATAGCTAGTTGCTTTCTCGGTTTTCGCTTTGGTGCTGCATAACAACGCCATTATTTGTCCTTTCAGTCAGGTAATTCAGCTGGCATCTATTCGAGGTGCAGACCCAGAGAAGCACCTTTCAAGCAATGACAGTCAGTTTGAAAAAGAACAGGAAGCAACGCCGACGCTGTTTCACTCTCCTCTACATTTTTGACCACTACTGGAGCCTGGAGAATTGCTCGCTTGACCATTTGCTTTATGTAGAGAAGAAGAACACGTATTTGCAAGAACCAGATGGCAGTCCTTCAGGTTGATTCTGGCTGAGAGAATTTCTCCACTTAAACATGGTTGCAACGCTGGCTGCTGCAGCCTTCCCTTTCTGGTTCATTGCTGGACATAGATAGGAAGAAGCTGAGATCAACGCGCAGCATTCGACACCCTCCGCTCCTCAGCCCCAATGACCCAGCCCCAAAAGCCACTCTGAGAATACTTCACCCGTGCCATGATTTGATGTTCTTCATAACACCCTGTGCCATGGTTTGATGCTGCACCGTGCGGTGGAATCTGGCAACAGCCAAGAGGTGGAGCGGGCGCTCCAAGCTGATCCGCGAGCTTGTGTCTCATCAGCAAAAAGCTGAAAAGCAAAGAAACTTGACAACCTACCCCTACCCTCCCTACCTTCTGTACCCCCTGGCAAGTTTTTTCACATCCCAAGTATGCTTGGTTGAAGCACTGTGACAGCCACTTGCAGAAAGTATAGATCGTGACTCAGTTGGCTTTCACGGCTCGAGATTAGACTCAGACCGCAGAATTGTGCACTGATCTCATCATGTGACATTTGACGTTCTCAACGTTCTTGGTCGGCATGGTGATTTCTCAGATGTTCTGGAACCTTTGCCACATGACCACATGTCTCGGCCAGTTTTGGTGGAGATAGTTTTGCTGGATTACCACCAGGAAAGAAGACAAAGGCGAACACAGAGCTTTCTTGATGAGCTTGGGTGAAGATCTTAGATGACGGCAAGAAGCCAGAGCCGGAGACAGTCTTTCCTTGTGAGGACGTAGAGCCACAGTCAGCGCGGAATGTCAGTCGGGACGAGCTTCGTCGGGTGAAGCCCATTGGCTCCTGTACGTGAAAGACGCATGAACTAGGGATGTTTCCACTTGGCAGACTCTACTCCATATAGTCTATATAGTCTATAGAGTCTAACTGCGTTCCTATGTTTGCTATTTGTTGCAGTTTTTGCTGATAAGGCTTGGAAGATGAGTTTCCAAACCTTATCCATGTGAACACGCACTTTCACTTGGGTGCGGAACATTTGCACGTGGATGCTAGCGGCTACTCCCTTACCGTGGAAGAGGCCACGAAGAAGCCCGATAATATCATTCTGGATGACATTCGTCCTGGCTATTTCTGCGACCGCGTTAAAGCCGAACCAGCACCACCTGCTACTTTGGACCCATATGAGTTCAAACACTGCAAGAATGTGAAAGTGGGATACACCTGTGAGTTCCACTGGGTCTGTTCAAGTGCCGGACCCAAGGATGGCATCTTGACAAGGTGGCTTAGGCAGTGTGTTTGCTCGAGACTTGAACCCATTGCTGGTGTGTGGACAGGCCTGTCGCAGCGTGTCGCATTGTCAACGACCCACCACTGGAAGTGCGTACAACAACAAGCTCTCCATTCGAAGTCACGTGGCATGTCGACCGACAATCTTGTACCTTGTCAGCCCAGGTGATGGACAATATGTGTTGAGAAAGTTCGGCATGGGTATGGAGAATGATGTCCAACCAGCCGCATCTTGTAGGACTGTAGCACGCTTCATGTCGGATGCAAATGCCACCATCCTCGACGATTCGACGTGAGCGTAGCAGAACCCTGAGTGACTTGAGAAGACTTGAATCACGAGAGACTTTTGACTCACATCTTTGTTTGGCTGGAATTTGGGGCTAGACGGGGCTAGCTTCCTGCTTTACCTTGTGAAATCTTGTGAATGGCAGAGTTGAACAGGACTGAACCAATTCAAAGAAGGAATGTTTGTAATGCCAGCCATGGGAGGATGTCTCTCCAAACATTGATTGCGCCAGCTTACGGACTTTAAATGTATGATTGGGGGCGGTTTCGGAGCAGACCTGGCTACAGCGTAGCAGACCTGCTTGAAAGTGTACAAATGTGGTTTGTTCTTTGCGCAAAGTGGAGCAGAACATCGCGCGTTGAAGGTGGTTGCTCAATCCTGTGTGGATTCGTTGTCGTGGCGCAGACCCCTTGACAACCATTTGTATTCACGCCAATAAGTTTAGTGGCCATTTCTTTTGGCCAATAGGGTCTTTGAGATATTCCAATGGATTGCTGCCCATGAGGCCCCTGGAAGTTCATGGTGCAGTTGTCTATATATTTGTATATATACAGACATAATTATATATATATATGTATTTATGTCTTGTATTACGTGGATTTTCTTATTTTAAGGTCTGGATGTTCTAAGCGTTGGCGTTTTTGAGATGTTCTAAGTTTGCTGTTCTGTCGTTTTGAAATTCATTTTAATGTTCTAAGTTTCACCGCGCGACTATATATGTTTGTCAGTTCATGATCACGTGCTTGATTTCATTGGAAGCTCTAGGCTGCGTCCTCCCAAGTACTTCAAGACCGGATAATGCTTTTCATGTAGCACCATGCTGAGAGATGTTCAGAGACTGGCGTGCTTCAGGTTCGAGGCCTTACCGCCCATAATGTAGCTTTCTTGCTGGACGGGTATGAGCCACACCAACCCACAAAAGGCTACTGATTCGGGTCAACCAGTGGTCAAATTTACCAGATGTTGATTGAACTTTCCTTCGTTCCTTCGTTCTCTCCCTCGTTTATCCTTTTGTTGGTTAGAACGACAGGTTCGATTGAACAGCTGTCCCCGCTTTGGAGTTCCTACCCACTGGGCCCATTTGGCCTCGAGTGGGTGCACTTCGTTCTTGCCAAGTTGGGTGACCCCGTGGTTGTTTGACCACTGGATCAAACTTGACAATATTGACTCGTTTTTTTGCTCATATGCGCCATTGCAAATCTCATCTGTCCAGTGGTGAAAGATGGGCGACCCTAACACAGCTGAATATTGCAACCTTTGTCGACCTTAATGGGACCTGAACGACAACTTCGGGTTCAAGGTTGCAGCACCTGAGCATTCAGGCTGACAGCGCAGATGGATGCACAGCAATGAGGTTGCGGACGGGCTGTGCCCATTGGTGCAAGGTGTGTGACAATTTCAACAAAGACCCACGCACTGAAATAAATTTCGGAGTGTGGTGGGCCAAACACTTTCTTCCGTCCTTCTTTCCTTCCTTCCTTCCTTCCTTGTTTGCTTCCTTGCTTCCTTTATTCCTTGCCTTTGTTCCTTCCTTCTTGCCTCCTCTGGCTGCCTTCCACGTGCAAACACATGGATGGATGCACGGACAGTATATACAAGGAAATACTTTGAGATGGGGGGGCGCCCGACATTGCAAACTGATACCTGCATGTTTCAATTGGAACCCTGGAAGCTAGCGAAGTTGCTCTTGTGCGAAAACCAACATGGACTACGAGAGCCATCATGGTCGTTGTGCTTTTGGTGCACCAGTGAGGCAGCTTGGTTAATGCCTTTGGCGAGCAGCCCTTGCACATCGCTGCGCGGGTGGGCCAGGCTGGGAGCTGGAAAGCTTGAAAGTTGTTGTCGTTCCTGTTTGCTCAGAGTTTGGAACCGAGGATGGCATTGTACGAAGGCTGCTGCGATGTGGAGCTGAAAAGCACATGCCAACGCCTCATGGCGCCGGAAGAATGTGTGAAGACGTGATCCGGGTTAAGCCACAATTTCATCGGGGTTGACATTTCCTTACAAAATGGGGTGTTTTTGGGTTTCAATTTGTGGACGGGGAGTGGTCCACTGTTCCTCTGCCCGAAAGCCGGAAGTGACCGAGCCCAAGCGTTTGGCCGTGGAGAACGTGAAACCTCAGGGCTCCGCCTCAGCAGATCAGGCGCTAGACGAGTCACAATATCACGGCGGAGAGCGCAGGAATACCTCGAAGGCCCAAAGGTAGCCCATGAATGACGGAGGCAGGGCAGAAGAAACACACAAAAGTGATTCGTCATCATCATCGTCAAGGCATCCGAAGGAAAAAACACTTTGACAGCTGTTCGTCGCACAATGGAGGCTGCTGATTCAGGAGAAAATGGTACCCCGTGCTGATCGGCATGTGGGAACCTCGCTGTGAACAACTGCATTATGTACAACGTGTGCTGCAGGAAACAGTAGACATTGTAGACAGCAGCGCCTGATCTCACGCTTCCAGGGGCAGAGAGAAAGATTGCTTTCATAAATTGTAGACGTAGGATTGTTTTAATCGTAATCATGATTAGTAGTTCAAGAATGACATTCACAACAGGCCATTATTAAAAACATATTGTAAACCCAAAAGCGTTTGTCGTGCAAAATGAGCAAACCCAGGTTCACCATGTCAATTTCAACAGTGATTGGTTTTCTGGGTGCCAGGGTGCACACATGTCCATCACCAGGGTTTTTGCATGTTTTTGGACAATCCTTCAACAAGTCCTTGGACATGACATGTTAGTTTGATTTTTTAATTACAAATGTGTTTGAGACACTGAGGCAGGACCAATTCAGGGCCACACCTCTGCATTTAGCAGCAGCTCATGGCCACCACAAGGTCGTGGAGGCCAGGTCACAGTTGACAGTCCACGAAACCATCCTTCTAGAACATTGCATTGCAGTAACAAGAAGCTACTAGGAGCAAAGGGCATCGCTACTAGGAGCAAGAACGCTACTAGGGACTCCTGGCCACACCACTAGTAACAAGAAGCTATGTACGAACATTGCATTGCGTTTCGGCTCCGAAGGTGTGTGACTCACAGACTCACAAGGGCCACGGACACCACTGGACGTTTTCGGAGCAGCGTTTGCTTGACGACTCCAGGCTTTTTGGATTGTTTGTTGTTGATGTGTTTTGATGTGTTTAAGAACCGTGCAGGTTCTTTTGGATGCTAAAGCTGATCCCACTGTGGTCGATTCGCGGGGCCTAGTCCCAGCACGTGCCTTGGCGCTTATGCATCCCATCAGTCCAGAAGGAGCTTTCAGTCCATTGCAGACCCGTGTGTGAGGTATGGGAGTGTGTGCGAAAGTTAGTTTTGATGATGGAAGTGTGATTTGAAAGTAGGCAATTGAATGGTGTGTGTGCAAAGCCGAGTTCGAGATGTGCGAAAGAAAGCTGCCTCCCGTGACCCGTGACCAGTTCCCTGAACTTGTTGGACAATCCAAGTGCAGAGCCAAAGCTGAAGGTTGGGCAGAGAGGAGGGGCCACCCACAGCTGGCAGAGCTTTTAGATGATGCTCGACACCAAGCTGGGGACTTCGACTTGGCGGACCCGAAGGGGACATGAAAGCCTGAAATCAAGGATTCTCATTCGCAGCCTGCAACGAATTTGTGGGGCGCAGATGATTTGAGCACTTCAGCCTTTCTCACATGCGAACAGATTAGGTGATGTTTGCTCCATGACTTTGATCGAACGTGTAGAAATCAGCTGGTCAAGACTCCTAAGTCCACTCCAAATGCGGGCTACAGTAGAAGTATGTAGAAGTCTAGCTTCACTTCTCCCTGCACTTCTCTAAGATAGATTGTGAGAAATTGTTTAAACAAAGTCCTCCACTTTCAAGCACCACTGAGCTGCGTCTTGTGCTCGCAGGATCTCGGCCGCATGACAGCTCGAGGCTTCAGCGAAGTCGCTGAAGGCCCGGCATGAGCAGGTAGTGACGCTGGGCAGGGCACATAAAGACAAGGATACAAGCAGCGCATTTAGTCTTGTGATGGAGTGGAATGAGGGGGTTGTCTTTGGCCAACAAAGACGCCCTTCAAACGAGTGTTAACCCACTTAACTGCTTCTCCGCGATTCGAGTTGATCCTTTGCAGTGGTTTAGTTTTACGGCGGTTCATTTCTGTCTTGCTTGTGGCTTTTGGGTTTTTTAGGTCTGGGCAGGAGAATCTACGTGTGACATGTGGTACTTCCTGATGTTCCATCACTGACATTTCTGTTTTAAGTTCATACAACTCGCCTTATTTTTGTGGATTTCAAGGGGGGCCAATCCCTCTAAGACCAAAGAGTCCCCCAAAAGCAGCCTAGGGAAAAACAAGGTCGGCCCAAGCAAGCAAAGCACGCAAAGCAAATGCTGTTTTCTCCGCGAGATGCGAAGGGTCATCCGGATGCCTGTGAGTGAAAAACCAGCGGATGTGAAAACCTGCACAACGTCAAGCCGATCAAGCGAAACAGCTGCATCACATCAAAAGGAGAGGGTGTTGACGTTGTCACGTCCACCATGCTTCAGCTGCTTCATCCTTTCTTTGCGGCGCTTCGAATGCCAGCACGCCTTTCTTCTTCTTTCACATCACTCTCCGTCTGAATCAGGCAGACCATGCCTGAGGACTTCAGCTCTTCCAGGAGAGTGGCTGGCATGTCCTTCGTCAGAGGATCTGCCAGCTGACGCCATGTTGGCGTGCACTTGAGGCCCACGACTTCGTCCTCTATGAGCTGCTTCATGAGCAGCGTGTCCAGAGCCGCCTGTCTCTCGGTGGCGACTCCACCTGTCTTGCGAAGGTGGTCGTGGAGCCCCTTCGCGTCTGTCACCAGGCATCCTGGTGTCACCAGGTTTCGACGCCAATCCTGGTCAACGGCTGTCTTGCCATACAGGAAGGCGTCCAGCAGCACCCTGCTGAACAACTGGCGATCACCTGTGCTGCTCATCGCGCAGCCTTCAGCGGCCAGGCTGCTTCTCACCACCCGCCTAATGCGGTTGCTGTGGAACTCAAGGACACAAGCTGGAGCTGGCTGCTGAAAAGCTGTCGTGTTTGTGAGGAGATGTATCTCTCCTTGTTGGGCTTGTGCACTCTTGGAATTGCCGAGGCTGGCATCAAAGAAGCTGACCATGAGCGGCTGTTGTGGGATCGGAGGAATCTTCATGATTGCTTTTCCTTGGGAGGCTCCCTCTTTCATGCTGGCAAGTACCTTGTTGGCGTACTTGAGGTCTCCACCAGTCGCCCGTCCCACCCGTTGTGCCAAGTCGCTGACCCGGAAAAGATATTCCGGGAGGACATGATGAGCAGGCCACCTGAGTTGCATGATGAGGCGTCTGAAGGCCGAGAGCTGCTTGCCTTCCAGGGGCGCCTCTGAGGGAGTTTCTTCCTTTGCAAATTCGACCTTGGCTATGTACTCTGTCATGTCGTCGATGAAGCCATTGGTCGTATATTGGGTCTTGACACCCAAGAAGGTCTCTGGCTCTTTCTCCAGGTCCTTCCACTCCTTGATGGCAAAGCGGTCGTTGATGGACTTTTGGATTTTGTCCGCTTGCGACCTGTCGGCTATCAAAAGGCCGTCGTCCACGTGGAGGCACAAAATTGCTTCCACCTTGGAATCTTTACCTTTCTTGATAAAGGTTGCCTTTGCCATCTGGAGTTCTTCAAATCCTGCAGCCACCAGAAGCTCTCGGGCTCTCAGGTACCAAAGCCTTGGGGCCTCGGATAGGCCACCCTTAACAGTTCTCCTGGTCGTTTTGGAAGCGCTGGCAAGCCTTCAGGTGGTGCTTTGATCATCACTTCTCTTTCAACTTCCTTTCCACTCAAGAAGGCCGTTGTCACATCGAAGGTGAGGGCTCGCCATTTCTTCGTGGCACACACCGCTTTGGCCAGCTGGACACATACCCACATGACCGTGGGTGCATCGGACCTGTATTGGCCCAGGTGAGGGTCCAAATGGCCTGGGATCACCATCCTGGACTTGGGTTGGAACAGGCCCTGCATTGCCCCTTTGTTCACCCTCACGATCCTTGCTGGCGCCTTGAAGATGTTCTTTGGGTCCACCCTTCTTGCCTCCTCTGGTGTGAGTCTCTTGATCACCCTATTCTTGACCCATGATTCCCACTCCTTTTTGTCTGAGGCTTCGAAGCCCTGTCGTTCTTCTGCACCGAAGAACCGTGGATCGAGCTCCTTCTTTCATCTGCAGCAAGAAGGCCTCGAAGAAGGCTTGCTGGTTCTCCTCCTCCTCAACCAACTGATGCCATTGGTGCAGATCAGTCACCAGGACTTGGTAAAGTCCACTGGGGAGCTCCACAAAGGCTTCTTGCCCTTCCTTTGGAGTCGGCTTCCTGGGCTGGCTCACGAAAAGACTCATCCCTCGCCATAGGAAGAGAGCTTTCCTCTTCGGGCGGGCCTTGGCTTCTTCTGCCGTTTCTTGTGTCACCAGTGCAGTGCCCTCCTTTTCGCCCAGCATCACTGTATACCGGGCTTTGCCTTTCTGATGCTTGGGATCTTGGAGCCGTTTTCTTGCCCCAAAATGGTATCGGGCACTGGTGATTGGGAGGTCCAATAGGATCCTCAGCTTCTGGATTTCTTCTTTGGTGGCCCATTGATTTGCTCTCCTTTTGAGATCTTTCTCCACTGACGCCACCATGATGTAGGAGAAGAAGGAGGGTCGAAATCGCTTCACCAACTGCTCTTCTGTCATAGTGCCAGGTTCTTCTTCATGGCTTCTTTTCTTGAACTGCTGTGGCACATCATCCAGCAAGTGTTGGCGAAGTCTTCCTTGAAAGCCTTCCTCCTGTGGTTGTCCGAGCCACTGGTTCATCTGGTCTCGGATCTGTTGCATCTTGGTTTGATGCTCTTCATCATCCTTGTGTGTTGCTTGGTCTTCTTCTCCTGCTTTCTTCTTCTCCTCTTCTATTTTCATTCCTTCTCGCCCCTTTGATGCGGAAGCCGTCCGCAGATCGAGGCGATCTTCCTTCTTTCTTCTTTGCTTTTGAATCGTTTTGATCGTCTTCATACCCTTGAGGGTCTTGGCAATCTCCTCCTTAGCCCGATTTTTGGGTCGTCCTCCAGGCTTTGGGGCAAGGACTCCATCGTGAGCTTCCCAACCCAATGCTTCCTGGGGTTCTCCTTCTTCGATGGGCTCTGGAGCGCCGCTCATATCCTCATAGTGCTTGGTTCCTCTTTGCCAGTTGTCCTCCAATTCTTCACTTTCTTTCAGCCTTTGAAGATGGTCGCCTCCTTCGAGTTGGGAGGCTACCCGAATGTTGGCTGTGGAGACCAAGAGACAGCGTCCTCGCCAGCTGAGGAAGAAGCGCTGGTGAGATTCTTTTGCCAAGACCATCGCAGGGCCTCTCCAAAAGCCAGGTTCTGTTCGAAGTTACCATCATGTGATTGATTTGTTGCTTGTCGGCTTC